CATCTTTGGAGACTGAAGGTATGAGTTCAATTTCCCATTGCGAATAGCTCTTGAAAGAGATGCCATAGTTCTAACATAAAACTGTCTCAGTTTTTTTCAGAAGTCAGAACTGGAATGCATGATTCAGTTCTATTCAGGCATCAAAGCAAGAACTTTCAGTCCAGAAATGCAGGTTGAGCTTTTTTTGGGGGGTTGGGAAGGGGTTACAGCTTGAAAATTGTGGTGTACCCCCCCACACAGCACACCCCCACTCTGCTCCGTGCACAGCTGCTGTGTAACAGCAGCACAAAGGCACAAGTTGGGAACTTTGCAGATGAAATCCTTCACGTGGGGTGGGATGCATTCCCACATACAGGGCTTGCAGAAACCTGGTGGAAGGAGGACCCCCTCCATGGTTACATCACTGCTTCAGTGACACGTGCTGTGCAAACATCGATTGGCTGCTGCTAGATGTGCGTCCACAAACATCTGTACGTACGTTTATATAAACCATGCCAGTGTTCAGGACAAACTGCAGATTAACTGAAAAAGAAATGGAACTCTCCTTCTCAAGGTTTAAGAATGCAGAATGAACCCTTTCAAGAACACCAGAGGATTTGAAGCTTATAAACAATGCCTACTGGGCAATAGATTTACTTTCCCACAAATAGGAACAAATTAACAAACAAATTGATTTTGGAGACAGGCAGTATTTGAATTTTAACACCATACATTCTAATTTCCTGTAAAAGCTGTCAACTAATCACATGCCCAGTCCTGCTGTTCTCCCATTGCCAGAGTAGCCTGCAACAAAACTCAACAGCAGTTTCTGAGACCAGTGTTTCAGCACATGTGGTACCTTGGTTACACAAACAGCTTCTCTCTCATTCCCCTTTCTTCCCTCTATGGCTTTATTTAAAAAGAAAGCAGTACAGATGCATCTTTGCTCACTGAGGACATCATTCTGCTCCGCACAGCCCATCCCCACACTGCTGCCTTCCTTCCCTTCAGAGACAGCTTCTCCATTAGTGCTGCAGAATGACCCTGGGGCCCAGCATGTGTTTTGATGGCAAGCAGCTCCCTGCTTCACCACAGAGTTCTGTGCTCATTCTGCCTCTGCTTGTCCCAGGAGGCTCCATCCTGCAAACAGCAGCTTGGATCACAGCGATGGACTGTGAGAAATTCCTTTGAACCAAAGCTGTAAGAAACACATCTTCATCTGCAGCCTGGCAGCAGCTTGAGGAGTCTGTGCATAACCTGCTGCTGATACCCAAGAAAATGCTCTCCCTGTAGGAAGGGCAGACGGAGCACCAAACCAGTCTGGTGATTATAAGCCCTCACCTGCACTGAACCAGGTAGCAAAAGCAGACAGAGGGACATGGGAGCAGCAGGAAAACAGAGCCTGGTGAAAAAGAAGTCAATCTGTGCAATCTGAAAATGACAAGCAAAAAACAGAAAGAAAAAAAAAAAAAAAACACAAAGGAGAAGCTCAGGTTCACTTTATTTCAATGGACAGGTTACAAAATTACTTTTGTCTGTCTGAAAAGCTGCATAAATTCACATTCATTTCAGCATCACGGTTCATTTCCACAAGAGTTACAAACACATCTCAGAACAAAAGCTGCACAAGGCAGCGCTCAGTGACACAGCACCAGGCACTGCTGCCTGCACTCTGCCAGCCACATCCACACCTCCAGCTCCGAGCATCTCTGCAATGGGTGAAACTGCTCTCCAGCGACGCAGATGGGGGCAGGAGGGCTGCGCGGGAGGAGAGCTGCCCAGGCTGCCACACGGCTGAGCCCAGCACCGAGCTGCGCTGCTCACCAGGTGCCCTCGGGGCTCTGCAGTGCTGACAGCCCAGGGACATCTCTGGGAGCAACAGCTCAGAGAGGGTACCACTGTAATCCTGGTGATTCCAACAGTGCGGGATTATTTTTCTCTTTTTCAAGCTCAGCTATCTTGGTGCTGCTCCTTCTATCCTAATGCACTGTTATTCTAAAATTCCTCCTGTGGATTTGCATGGACAGGAACCTACCAGTGAAAGCACTGACAGGCAGGACAGCAGTAAGAACACAACAACATTGTGGAAATACAGATCTAAGAGGATTTGTTGAAGGCCCTGCTGGCAGTGAGTAGGAATAAGAGGAATGCCAGCCTTTGACTGCATTCAGATCCATCTGATTGTGCTCCTGCTGACTGCTTTGCTTTGTAGCCCTTGTGCTCCAGTTCCTTTCCCTGGGCAGTGTAAGTGCACACAGCTCTGGGCTTACACTGCTCCTGTGATTTGCTGCGCCAACAAAATTATAACCACAGCAAACAGCCCGCATGGTGGTTACATATTACAAAGCACACCATTTAATTCAGAACCAAAGACTACATTACACATGAAAGACACTCTGGCAGTTACCAGTTTTAGTCTATTTCTATAGTGTGCCTCAGGTTAACCTGACTTTAACTCTCATGGTTTGTGAAAGCAAAACAAGAAACAAAATAACCTCTTATGCTTCTGCTTGCAAGTCCTGAAGGCTTTTTGACTTGTGTAAATCTCATATTGCTGTAAGCACATACAATAGGAAGCAGTAGCTGCTCCTTATGCATATCCCACAAAAGAAACATAAAAAATGAGCTCTCCTATGAAGATGTTCTGGTACTTTTAACAGCACTAAGAAGTGAAACAGCATTAAGCTACCTAAAAACGCGGATGCCTGCATTTCACTCCCTGTGCCCACATGGGTGCACTTTCAATCCTTTTCTGTATTTACCATCTGAAATCATTCGTGGAGTTATTAAGAGCAGCCTGAACACGGTTCTGGGCAACCTGCTACAGGTGTCCTTGCTGAGCAAAGGCTGGACAAGATGACCTCAGCTGTTCTGTGATCCAATTCAAACCATTGCAGAGTTTTCCTTACATAGCTTACTTTGCATGGACAAAAGAGCTGGGAGCAGCTCAGAGTGGTCTCAGTCAGCACAGAGCAATTGCACATTACACCTCTGTCCCCACTTTCAGAGGTGTCACAGATGCAAATCACAGCAGATCTTGCTTCAGGTTGAACCACAAGGGTCACCCACACCCTTCTCTGTACAATCACAGAAAGAAAGAGACAAAACACAGGGTACTTTTCTCATGATATTTTTAAAGAGCTCAAAAACCATTAAGTGTTACACTTTGCTAAACGAAGTAAAATGAAGGAGTGCCATCTTCATCCCACTGTGTGCCCTGGGGCAGCAGTGCTGAGCCTGGTCCTGCCGCTCATGCTCAAGTCTTCAAGCTGAGGTGACTCCTTGGCAGCTGTCTGTGCATCACGGATGAGCAGAAAGGAGATGCTGTCAGGTGCTCAGAAGGCATGCTGCCAATGCAAACATTTGCTCACAGGCAGCTCACAGTCACCAGAACTGTGAAACATCTCCTCCTCCACATACTCACACCAGCTGGCAGAACCAACTTCTGATATGAGGCAGTCATGAAGTCACTGTTTGTCACAGCTGTCCCCCCGACCAACAGAAAACTTTGCCCTCTCTTGTCCAAGCAGAAGAGCTGCTCAGTGAGGCTCCCTCCATGGCCTGGGCTGGGGACAGAGCTGGAGAGCAGACCTCCAGCAGCATCCCATCAACCTAAACCCAGCATCACACAGAGGAAACCTGCTGGGTAAGGAACACATAGGATGTGGAGATCCTGCTCCAGCCCCCATACTTCCCTGCTTCACAGCCAGCACTGAAACAAACCCAGATGAAGAACTGAAGAAAAGGTGACTTCCTCCTTTCTGTTTTTAGATGAATACTTTAAAACAACTCCTTTTTCTCTCAGCACAAGGGGATAACGTGTTTTTTTGTTTTGTTTTGTTGTTGTTGTTTTTTGACAAAGTGGGGTTGGAAATGAAAGTTTCCTGCACAATTCTTACTCCTGATTGACAGAGTTAAAATCTGCCCAGGAGTGGGAATCCTGTAGCAGCAGCAGCAGCTGAACAAGGGCTGACAATGAGCAGAGCGCTCATATTCAGAGCACTCAACAGCCCTCCAGCTCCTCACCAAGCTTAATGAACTATAATGAAAGGAAATTAATGAACTTTCCCCCCATTTGCCAAAAGAAAGAGCAGCTGGACCCAATATGAATCGAGTATGATTAAGAACATCATAACCACCACTCAAAATAAAAGAGTGATACACCTAAACAGCCCACAGCAGTTTCTTATCATTAGAACCACTCAGCTAGCTCTGCTTTAATTGCCACTGAAAGACGCACAGAAAGGATTTTTCTACCTTTTCCATTTAAGACCAAGGACAGAAGTACATAAGCACAGACACACACAGGGACTCAGCAGAGCATGCAGACAGGCGCACACAAAGAGCACCTCAGTGCCACCACACAGGGCAGCGTGACCGTGGGAGGACAGGCATTACCTGACAGCAGACACAGGGTCTGGGGACTGCCAGGGCTGTGCCACCCCACACACCAGCAATGCTCACTCCTGGCATCATTCCCCACATCCCCTTGGGCAAGTGCAGGGATTGCAGCCACAGCCCCTCCCAGGGCTGTCACAGCAGCACACTGCTGACACTCTGTCAGTGGAAGCCCTCTCATACTTCTGCCCCAAGCACATACCCCAGGTCACACTGCACTGAGCCTCTGGCTCAGCTTATGGCAGCCACGTGGCAGCAGCTGAACTGAGAGAACTGCAGGGAAATGTATGAAAGCAAACCACACCATAGAACAGCACAGCAGCCTCAATCCTGCTGCAAAGGAGCTGTACAGATACTGGGGTGCAACACTTCACCAGCAGAACTGTGGGCAGGGGGAAGTCACCAGATGCTCTGCAGCACAGGGAATCTTCAACTCCCAGCACAAGACACCTGTGCTCAGAACACACTGCCCACAGTGCTGCACAAGGATGCATCAGCAAGGCTGATTGTGAGGCACAGCTGTTGCCATGCTCCACGATGTAGCTCTCAGACACTGCAACATGCTTTGCCCTGAACTTACATCTGCCCAATTACTCATCAAAAAACAGCAATCCAACTCTAAATTAACATTTTGTCTACTGCATTCTTACTTGATTCATCAGAAAAAAATCCACACTAAAACCACAGATCCACAGATTAAGTTAATCGGGGGGAGGAGGAATAAGGCTCACAGTTTGGTTGTGAGACTGAGGCAATGCCCAACTCAGCTCTGGCAATGGAGTAAGACTGGATTTGGCCCAAGAGCTTCTAGTGAAGACCAAATCTGTTCTGGAGAGAAGAAAATTGGGGAATTCTTTCCTTTCTTGTGGATGAGAAGTATTTTAGAAGGACCTTTTACTCCCATTGTTGGCCTTCACTCAGTGGAAAGGGTTCCCCACCTTGGCTCCTAGAAGCCCAGTGTGCAATGGAAGTGATACTCTGAAGTCTTTGCTGCAGACAATGCTCACAATGTGGACACAGCCAGAGTTCGTATGTGGCTGTTATAGCCCCGAGTTCTTTTTAGACATGAGTTTGAATCCATCATCCAGAATAGACCTCCGGTTCCGTCTCAGCTTCCTTTGCCTCTGGAGGTGGATGACGACTCCCAGGAGGAAGGCAGCAACCAGGAGGAGGACCAATCCTGTAATGGCTAGAATAATGACTGCAGCTTCTACTTGCCCTAGAGGCAACTTAGCTCCAAAAAGCCTGACCTTCTGGGAGTCATCTTCATCCTCAGGCTGTGCCCCTGAGAGGGGAAAAAAAAAAAAAAAAAAAAAAAAAAGTTGTATTATTTCCCACTCTCATTAGCACTGAAAGGTTCAGAATCCTTCTGGAAAAAGAGCAAAAGAATGACCCAACACAGTCAAAGCAAGCTAAAGCAGACCCAGTCCCCATGAACCCAACAGACCCACACCACTCAGGTCAGAAATTTGAGAATAAAAGGTTCCTTCCCTACTCCACTCCACCCCACAAACCCAGCATGTCTCAAGCTATCCCAGCCCTATCAGCTAATCACTGCTAAGCCACTCATGAGGAAGGCAGTTGGGGGTTGTGTGAAGCAGCAGTGGCTGAGCTAGGAGAAAAGAACTGAGATGAGAACACCTGGACTGGGGCTCCTGCGAGGTCCCCACTCTGCTCCAGGCTGCCCCCGTGTGTGGCTTCTGCTGCTGTAATGCACTTCTCAGCCTCACCAGCAGTGAGTCACTTCACATCTTGAGCTCTTACACTTCTATAGTGAAACAGCAGAAATCCCCTGAGAAAGGCAGCTATTGGCACAGACAGCAACCCGCAGTCAAGGTTCTTACTTCATGAACATACATAGGCTGATGCCCAAGTAAATGCAGAACAAGTTATTTAAGTATTGTCACACTGTCGCTGTCAAAACTACATTTCCTACTTTTCTTCACAGCCATTCTGATTGAGAAAAACATTGTTGAGAAGACAGCAGAATTGTCAGTACCAAGACTGAAGCTTTGCAGATAGATGGTTGTATTTTCTGCCAATTGAAGCTCTGAAACCAGCTCAGCTGCATTTACTGAAAGCAGCTGAGAAATACAGGAGTAGTTGTAAAGAGATGGAAAAGAAGAAGGGAAGAACGCACCACCATCAGCTCTTCCAAGTGTTACCTCCAGAGAACTGGAAAAAAAGTCATCTACTACTTTCCTTTTCCCTCATTCTGCTCAACCATCTACTTCTTAAAAAACCTTAAAGAATGACAGCACATGCTTAGTCTTTTTCTCTGTGGGTAAAACAGACCAGAAAGAAGTTGTGCTTGGTGGTGCACCCACTATGACTAGCTGGAGGGACTTAATCTGAACATTCCCTCAACCATACAGGCACTGACAGTCCAAAAAGGGAAAAAAAACTAATCTATGATCCCTGTGAGTTTCATTTGAAAGGAATCAGAAAAATCACAGCATCCTCTTTTACAACCCTTTGAATCTCTGCTTGTATGATAAATTCATATGCAGAAGTAGGGTATGAGGCCACTGAGTTTTTTGACTTAAAAAGGTCAAACAAGCCAAAGCATCTTAACTTTTTTTTTTTTTTTTATCATCAGAGCACAGATGTGTAAGAAACAGATCAGCTAACTTACCTGGAACTTCTCTATTACCCATCAGTAGCCAAACATCAGGCTAATGCTGCCCAGTCTGGCTGAGGAGGCTGTATACAGTCTTCGTGCTCCTCCCTTCTCCCCTCATTCTAGCACAAATCTAGGTCTCCATACTGACAGGAGATCTCTAATTCTTTGCCACACACACACACACACACCTTAGCAGTGCAAGCCATACATTACCTTCATCGTAGTTCAAAACCACAGGCACTGGCTCTGAAAGGAAACAAGAAGTGGGTGACAAAGTGTGGGCTGAACAAATTGAGTCCAGAACAGACCTGACTTCTGACCAGTAATATCCTTATCAACAACAATTGCTCACTGATGGCTGAACTTTGCTTCCCAAACTCAAACTAAAATAAATGTCATAATAATACCCTACGCAAAGTAAACTCCAAAAGCAATTTATTACCTCCAGCTGCAAGTATTACTATTTTCAAAGGGAATGTCTTAATGGCAATTATATGCTCAATTAACTAGCTGTTTATAGTACAAAAGAGTTGCTAAGTGTGATGCAAACAGAATTCAGCAGCATTAATAGAAAATGCTGTTATACGTCTGATGGTAGTAAGTAGTGATTATTTCTGACCTTGTCTGGGCAAGACTTGGAAGAGTATCTCCATGCCAGCATGAATATGATCAGACACATGGCAGTGAAGCAGCCACGTCCCAGGGTTCCCAGCCAGCATCTCTACCATTTCAAAGGTCCCAGGAAAGAGATCCACAACATCTGCTCTGTAGCTTTTGCCACTCTGTGAAGGAGAAGGGAGACTTGCATGCAGTGCTCTGTGCATCTCTAAAATTGTCAGCTTTACTGGAGACCACTTCAGTGTGACTACAGTTTATCAAAGCTCTACAGAACATTTCAAATAACAGCTCCAGAGCTGTAACTGAGAAAGCAAATAATGCCTGAACTAAAGCAACATTAGCTAGGCATATCAGCTATAAACAGAGGTTCAACCTATCAAGTCTGGGCGCATAATATCACATTGTGCACTGTTCCTGTAAAACCATTCAAGAAGTTCAAGTCAGTCATGCAAATGCAATGACATCAGTGGTCATTTTATTATCAGCAGGACCTTCTTACCTTGTATATGAAGGTCTCAGCATGAAAATGGACTGTGTGGACATCAATCTCCTGTCCCATTCCCAGCAGGTACCAGTTCACCCACTCTCCTTCAAACATGGTCAGCCCAGGCAAGTTTGCATAGAGCCTCCCATTGATTGCTAGGCAGTGAATAACATACAGGGGAAAAAAAAAAGCTATTATTGAAATGGTAAAAACGCTGAATCACCTCAAAGGAAGAAAGCGCAGGACAAGTTAGATGTTTTAAAGCTCATCCAGGAACCAGTGCATCAGTATTTCACATCTTCCATACAACACTGTCCCAAAACGTTTGGCAGTCTCTCTATAGACACGCTACATACTCGTTCTGTTAGATACAGAAGACACAGCTTGCACCTAAAGCCACACTGTAATTCACCCCAAATAATCTATAAAAATTACTTGCAGAAAACCCAGAGTCTGGCTCAAAACAAGGGAAATGCACAACTCGAACATTTACTTGCTGAATGACAACAGGCAATTTCTGCCAACAGGAACCCTGTCATTCTATGTGTCTTATGCTGCCTGCACACACTGTGTGCTAATCATCAAGGGAAAAAAGGAAATCACTACGTGGTGGGACCTCATTTCATAATTGGCATAGCAAGATGGAATAATGCTTTGACTGCAAATGCAGAAAAGAAACCAAAACAACGGGTGAGCAGGTTAATGTTCACAGGGCAACAGCCATGATCAGATGACAATGGAAGAAAAATACTGGAAGAGACCTGATCTAAAAACAAGACCTCCCATGTTTTACTCCCATATCTGCCAAGGGTACTTTGGGCAGCCCAAAGCAAGCATTCAGCTTTGGTGTGTTGCTTTACTAATTATAACATTGGTCTGACAACTGTAACTGAACAGACATTGGTATTTGGAGATTCCTTATATTACCTCTATAAAATAGGCAGTAATAATAGCACACAGCACAACTCTGTTGTTCTCATCGCTGCAGCTGCCTAGGGGCTGGTATTGCTGAGAATACTTTAGGTGGAAAAACAGATACAGTATGTAAGGAACTGTAAATAACACAAGATTTTAGAGGAGGTTTGTTAGTTCTGCTATAGGATGGTTTCTTCATAATCAACTAAACTGTATCTGTGTATTGCTGTCTATATATTGCTGTCACACAACCTGGTCAACTCATTTGAAATATAACATTCTAATGGTCCCAAGATGACTAGAATGAAAACAATCTGACATCTCATTTCACATCTAATATTTCCTGTCCAGAGTCACTCAGGCACACTAGATATTGAACTCTCCAGCCCATATCTTGCTATTTCTCCTGAGGAAGACAGTCATAATGATTAGTCTTCATTGGAAATCAAAGATCTGTGGCATATGTCCTACATTACTGAGAACAACCGAGAGTTTAATCGAGAGTTTAACTTCGTTTGTGCCACCGTTGAAGGGAAAGGGTGAGGGAAATCACCAGAAGTCAGGCTCTTGTTTTCTGGGCTTTTTTGACTGCTGATAGTGGTGAGAGTCATTAATAACCCTGCACAGATAGCGACAGCTGGGTGCCGAAGAGCCCAGCCAGCATTACCGTGCATTTTGTTGCTTTCCACAAACTTCTCATCCAACAGGTCAATATCCTTGTGACTTCCACTGCTGTAACGTTGCACGTTCTCCTCTAAGTACCAGGACATATTTTCATCAAAAACCAGGAACAGGAGAGCAAACTCCCTCTTCACATCCTTCCTGATCCCATCAGCTTGCAGTGTCCCTTTCCTGCAGACCTTCAGGGGTCCGATCAGACCGCTGTACACATCCTAATCCAAAGGAAGGGAAAAAATCTGAGCTCTTCCCCCTTCACAACTGCTCCCTGCATCACACCCCACTTACACTGTGCTGCTGTGTATGAACTCTCATTGGTAGCAATCAAGGAGCAGAGCACAAGGACAGAGACTACACAAGCTCTTATGAATGCAAATCAAAGTCAAGTGTGAATGGTATCAAAATAACCCCCCCTCTAAGACTGCAAAAACATCCAGAACTTGAAAGGAAAAGTCCATTATCTCCAGGTTCAATGTGATGCGTTACTGCAGTATCATTCAGGTCATTTTCCCTATGAAATCAGTGCTATGACAGCAGATCTCAGCAAAGCTCAGAATTTCCCTATTTTATCTCTGTTCTAAATTTGAACAATTTCTGCCTTCCTGAATTAAACTTTTCACCAGCTGAAGCGAGAACTCACTGGGAGATGTCCCCACATCCTGCAAATAACTGAGGGAAGGTTAATTTCAGCACGACATGGAATTCTTTCCTGTAGGTTTGCATTAGGAAAATAGTGACAAACACCAGGGCAGATTTAGAGGATCCCCTCTCCCAAGAGAATGATAGATATGCCAACTAGGTGGTTTTTCTGCCCTTCACCTGGGCCAACTCCTAAAACATACTCAAGTTGCATTGTTTCCTAGATAGGACAAAAATTGGTCTGATCTTGTTTTTTAGTTCTAACTTCTTGTATTTTACCTTCACAGGGTCTACCATGGAGTAGTAAACCCAAGGGACACAGGCTGAATCATCCGGCCCTGGACCAGACCTCTCAGGAATTTCCCATTGGTAGGTCACTATGTCACCTGAGGACAGAAGCACCATTAGCACCACTGCGATAAAGGGAGTCCCCAACTTTGAGTGGCAGCAAAGCAGAACAAAAACAAAAGACCACTTTGTCTCAGAATTACAACCCACTGTTGGACGTTGCATCACTCACAGGTGCTGAAAGAAGGATGGAAGCTCCCCTCTCACAAACAAAGCAGAGGGGTGACAAGAGATGCACACTAACTGGAATTGGCACAACTCAGTCTTATCTACCATATTTAAGACTAGACCAGAGCAAGGGAATTCTGCCCCTCTTCAGCACCTGTGATGTTTGGAACAATCTTTCACCTCTTTGAAGTTTATTTATGATGCTCAAATTCCTTTTTAAAGCTAATATTTTTGCTTATTAGCAATACATCTCAGAAAGACAGGGTCCAACTTAAAGCCTGCTTGTTGCAGAGACAACCTTCCGATGAGCATACTCTTGAAGGAGACCAAAAATCACATAAATGGACACCTGGACCATGAACAAAATTTCAGTCAGCATCCTGGAAAGCAGCTGTGCACATTACAACAAAGACAGATCATGAAGAAAAACAGGGGCCATCAGGCCAGGGCTACCAGAGCTGAGAACAGTGATCAGCCTTCTTCTCACAGACCATGCTCGGTGTGGGGGACAAGGCTATACAGAAAAAATGTGCTGCATTTACCCCAAAGTCAGAGCAGAAACACAAGAACTCCCCTGGGCTGCCCATATAAGTGACAGCCAAAAGACACAGTGAACCTGAAAGATCAGTTTTTGTTCTGTTCCAGTCCTCTATGAGAAGAAAACTAGTACATCTAAGCCTATTTAAAGGAACAATCTAGCTGTAGGCTAAAATTAGTTTCCTAACTTAGTGCAGGAATAAGGCTGGAGGACACTGACTTACCAGGATGTGCTACTTGTGGCTGTCCTGCCTGCCTTTCCAGCACCCCATGGGCATGAATGGAGTAGGGTCGTGAAGCATTGTTCTTGAATACAACATTGAGAATCTCTCCCACTTCTGCCCACAGAAAAGGACCTGAAAATAGTAGTAATGTACTCTAAGACCAGCAAGAACTGTAGTATCTTCTAAGATTATCCCCCACTTTTCTCATTCTTTTCTCCCCAGAAATACTCCCTTGTAATACATATGATGCTCCCGTGACTCATCACTACCATAACTCTACCACCAGAAGCTAGCACTGGAGAACAGTCCCAGTTCAAGAAAATGTGAGTTTCACAACGAGGGAAATGAAGGCTATTACACATTTTAGCTGTAGCCTATCAACTAAACCTTAATTTCTGAATATACACCAAATTTTACAACTTTTTTTATCTGATGCTTTTGGTTTCAAAAAAATTGGTGATACTCAATATGGACTGCCAGCATCACAGATCAGAACTGCAGTCTATTTCAAATGGTCTCAACTTTTCTGCCCTGCCACCACTTGCAGTCCCGGGTTCATTAAAGGAATGTCTCCACAGACCTTTACAACACCGCAGTGTTTCTGCATTTTGCAAAGCCTGTGTGCTATTACTCCCCCCCTCCAAAAACCTTTCATACCTACAGATTTTCACTCACATCTCTGACTGCTCTACAGAAGACAGATTGTTCCATAGAGAAATGCTTTGCTTCAGGCATGGAAGAAAACTGGCAGCAAACATAGGCCTGAGAACCCAGTTCTCTACTACGAGGCTGTACTCAGGACCCTCTTTACTGCTTTATCCAAAGCTGGCAGATCTGGACACTCGGGATTTCTCCTTGCTGGCATACACAGCACACACCTGAGTATGCAGGGGGCCTTCAGATTACAACCCTTAGCCCAAGCACCACCTGTATGAATGGAATACTCTGCACATTTCCTTACCTAGTATCCCCAGATGTTCGTCACCATTTACCCTAGCTTTAGGGGTCTGGAAAGTCCCATCTGTGTACTCCCTGTAAACTGCTTTCTTGTACCTGGAGCCAATCAGTCCATCCTTATTGCTCAAAAATATATCGGCGTAGCTGAGAAGTGCAAAACAAGTGCTGTGTTACTCAAATGCTCACAAGGCACAGGCAGTGAGCCCGTGGTACGGGGCTCAGCAGCTGGCAGGTTCCCAGAGTCCCATTTCAGCTGCAAAGGCTGGCAGCAACACCTGGGCTACATCACCAGCCCCTGCAGCACTGGGTATAGCCACAGCACCACGCAACACGCAGCCAAGACATCCAACAGATGTGACTCAGGTCTGTTGAACAACCTTGCCCAGGGCTTCCCCAGCTCAGGCTGTACCTCTCAGCAGAGTGGTTGTGCCGCTCTCTCTCCCAGCTCCGGTCTGGCGCGTAGTCCCACTCCACCTCCTCTGCCACTATGTAGTACGTGCGCACCGCTCTGTACGGGAGAGCGGGAGGCAGAGCCCTCCTGTTGCAATTGGAAACCGAGTACTGCTCCCTCATTCCAGCCTGGTAATGATTGCTCGTCTGGCAGTAGATCTCAAAAGTCCCTGCGGGAGGCGGCACAAACAGGACATCAGCTGCTTCAAAGATGCCAGGAAGCAGTGCTTCCCACAGTGTGTGACATCGGCACGCGTGCTGAGCAGATATGGGTGCTTGTTTAGGGAGCTTGGCTGCCATAGGCCAAGATTAAAAAGAGCTGACGGAGAAACCAATCAGGAATGACAAAGTCCCACACAAAAATTACCTCAGCAGGCCATCCTGCACAAAGCAAGCAGCTTATTAGACATGAAGAAGCCAAGGAAGTGACAACTATGCTACCACTGCTGGTTAAGCAAGAGATCTAGCCTGCAAAAGCTGAAGGGGAGGAGACAAGAAGCATCTGAGGCATGATGGCGAGGTAGCACTGTGTGCCTAACTCCCAAACTGGGAAGACACAGGTCTGTTATTGTGAACCTCTGCACACCACAACTCTGCTTCATTCTGAATGGTACGGCTGCGTGTTTCTATGGATTACAGGCAGCAAAGTGCATCAGAGCTACTATTGCAAATACTAAATAGGAAGTGGCAGCTTAGAGAATCAATCTGGGATGATGGGACAAGATTCTGTATCTCCCATTCTTCTCCAGAATCAGGTGCAAAGACAAGAGCTTTGGGCTTGCGAATAGGTCTGAACAAGGTGCAATGCACAGCTCAGCCTGTAATATGCAAGAGTTCACACGGCTAATGAACCAGCCACAGTAACAACCTGTTACAACCAGAGACATATCCTAATGCTGGGTTAAGTGTGCAGACTCTTACCCTTGTTGTCAGGTTGCATAAAGGCAGTAGCAAACGTATGGGGGAACAGGTTGGCTGAATCTTTCCGCATCCCATTCATCTGCAGAGTGTTTCCCTGAAACACAGCTCCATGTACATCTGCTTCACTGCCCAATCCCAGAAGGTGCCAGGACACATTGTCTCCTTCACACATATCCAGCCCAGGCAAGTTACCAAACATATATCCATTGATGGCTGCAAAGGAGAAAACAATTCACTCTCTGGTAGATATCAGCCAGGAGATTTATTCTGTGCATCTATCTGGATAGGGTGAGCATCCCACTGGAAAAGCATCTTCCTCTTAATTCACCCGTGAACACACTCAGGACAGACTTCCCAAGACAGCAGTGCTTCTCGGCCCACATCCCACCCGCTCTCTGGCCTCGCCTGATTTCAGCCCAGCACAACACACAGCCACTCCAGGTTCCCAGCTCAGACTTTGGGTGAGCACCAAGCAGTGTTTGGCAGATTCACTCCTGCTGCCCACAGAACAGCATCAGGCCATACCATGCATCCTGTTCGATTCCTCAAAGCCATCATCCTTTTTCAGAGAAGTCTCTTCCATCCTCAAATAGTACTTTATGTTTGCACTTAAATACCAGCTGAGGTTCTCATCAAACACACTGAAGAGAAGGTAAAATTCTTTGTCGATACCTTTCTAAGATACAATCACAATGACAGCTGTTAATTTTTTAAAATGTCCCCATTCACTACCCTTACAGATCAAACTGTTTTGTTTGTCTCTTATTTCCCCCTTCTCCTGTAACTTGGCTCACTGAGGGCAGGGCTGTGCTTTGCTCATTTTGAGCGTTTCAGTTCTGCTCTATAAGCAGCACCACTCTCAGGTTTGCCCTGGTATGCCACGTGAGCAAAGCGATCAAAATCAGGAGAGGAGCACGACAACACTGCCTCCTTCCCCACCACGCTTACATTTACACGTAGGCCAGAGAACATGGCTTATAATCACAACCCACCCCTCCTTTCTCCTACCACAGGTCTTAGTTTGGGAATTTTGTATTGCCTTAAAGCCTTAAAAATGTTAACTCTCCTAAGAGATGCACTGCACAGGATGGCGTTTCCCCATTAACAGAACATTGCCAGTACTGTCCAGATGCTTACTTTGGTATCTGTTTCCTTAGCTGTACAAAGGAAAACACCCTAGACAGGGCTAAGCATTTTGCAGTCTGCGGCACGTAGGTATGTGTGAGGAATGGCTGTGCATCTTTCCCAATTAACAGGTTACTTAATATCATGGAGCTGGAATTGCTGCCCCAGATGGTTCTTCCAATCATACATCTCCAGATAAGTCCACCTGTTCTGTTTATTGCCTCTCAATGCTGAAAAGCTCTTATCATTACCACAGTTCCTTCACACAGCACACTTCATACACTCGTGATCCTCTCTGCTCAACCTGCTCACCAGTGCAGAAACGTGAATCTTCCAATCTATTCAGAACTCTCCGTTTAGCTACACCCTGCCACCAGTGAAAGCAGACTCCCCCAGGAAGGCTTAGCAGCAGCAGTGTCCAGATCTTTCAGCCACTCCCTGATCTAAACTGCCAGACAGGTAAGGTGACACCAGGCTGTTTTTCTGCTGCCCACCATTTCTCACAACACAAGTCTGTTAACATCTTGCACTTCCCCAGGTTGGTTTACTGCCTTCCCCAGGCTTACTGCATTGAGTTATCCCTGACTGAAATTTCCAATTCCAGCAGGAAAAATCCTTTTTACCTGTTTGTTGTTGTCATCCAAAGTGCCCGGCTTGCAGATGACCAGAGGGCCTACCAAGCCTGAGCTGGTATCTCTGATTGGGTCCACAGCAGAGCTGTACATCCAGCTCAGGCAGGGAGGGTCGCTGGATGTTGGCCCAACATGCTTCGGTATAGTCCAAGCATATGTAAAATTGTGCAGAGGTGGAACAGACACCCCATTTCGGGACACACCTTCAAAAACAGATGGGCATGGTTATTTTTAAAGTCTGTACAAACCCAGTTGCATCCTCTCACCAGTTACACTTTCATGCACATCACATCTGAGGTATAACATAAAGTGTTCAGAAAGTGCACTCAGCTGCTCTCACAATCCCCTTCCAGGTATCAAGGCAGAGATGGGCATGCTGACAGCAAATAAGTGGACACCACTACATCTAGGACATGTGTGGAAGTACATGGGCTACCTAAGCTGGAATGCAGCGGGCACATTCCTCTGCTCAGTAGGTCTCAAGCAGTCAGAAACAGCCTGAGGTTTAGTTTTACCATTTCTCAGGTGAAAATGGTACCTTTGGAACCATGCTACCTCAGGCATCCTCCCTGGGCATAAGATCTGCAGAAAGACTCCTTCACTTCTCCCTCAGACAGACCCAGAGAACCAGGCAGAGTGCCACCCAGCTCCTAAGCACATTCAGTCCTTCCTGGCTGCAGGAACTTCCAACACAGACGAGGCACAGGCTATGGAGCTCTACCACCAGGAAGAGTATTGAATTAATAAAAATAAATGAGCCACAAACCATCATGGTACAGCATCCCTTCCCATGCCTTCCCATAGGACACTCCGTGAGGCTGGATGCTGAATGGCCAGGAGGCTTTGTTAGCAAATGTCACCAGGATGGTGTCACCAACTTCGGCTTTTATTACAGGACCTACACGAACAGCAGAGAAAGCATGTCAAAACAGAGCAAATCCCAGGACAACCAGGTGAACAAAGGCAGCGCCACCTTTGATCCAAGGCGGATAGGAACAGACTGGGAACAGAGGGGAGGGGGATGAGTTTGAATGAGTCTGAGCAGCTCCCCCTGTGGATGATGCTTATCTGACCTTCATCTTTTGTTTCTTCCCTATTTATTTTAGGGAAAAATATCCACAATTCCTATGAAGGCATACACAAGATTACCCTCTGTCACTTCTCTCCCCATGGCTACTGCTGGTAACAACATCCCTTGTTCTCTCCCCACAGATCTGTGTTTTATTCCATGTGCTCATTCCTCCCATGGCCTCTCCCAGTACCGCTATCACTAACTTCTGCTCTCATTAGTCTACACTAATGCAGGAAATTGGACCATGCTCCCACTGCGTACCTCACAGCCTTCGCATGACTCATTTGCCCTTGCAGACTCCCTATATTCTTATTTTGCTTCACCTCTCATACTTGCTGTATAATCAATTAATATAAAGATGTTATTATTGTGAAATAAACCAGAGAGTTTGGCTAAGCAAATAATAACAGAAAGAGAATAGATAGAATGCTTACACGTGTCCTAGGCTCACTGCAAAACTCCAGAGGAAGGATCTCCAGCAGGGATCCTTCCCCCTGGCAGTCAGCCCTTAAATGGCTCTGGGAGAGGCACAGCCAGGCTCCATCCCTTCCGGCAGCACAGGAGAATTGCCTTCACCTGTGCTCCAGGGCTGACTCAGTGCTCACCTCAGGTGGTCAATCAGAGCTTCAGGCTGTGATTCAGCAGCTCCCATTCACCTGGGTATCATGGAGAGCACAGAAGCAGAAGCTTTTTGTGAGCACCCTGGTGATACTCAATGGACCCACAGGTTCATCCAGTTACAAACACTATACTGTCACAAATACTATAACATGCTTCTCCAGTCCTTACTGCTGACCTCCAAAGAGTGCTCTGGCAGGAAGGCAATTCCCTACATTCTACATTAAAACACCTTACCACACTGAGAAACAAGGGCACTCCTTACATAAGCCCATCATTCATGCTAGCACCAAAAGAGGTTTGTATTGCTAGATGATTCCTACCAAGTATCCCAAGGTGTTTCTCTTCTTCAGACTGCTGTTTTTCCTCACGGAAGCTCTCATCAGTGTATTCCACATACTTCACCTTCCAATAGACTCCTCCAATTCGGTAGAGGCTACGCTTGAAAAACTGCTCAGCAGGGCTAAAAATGCAAGACACAGATAACGTGTCATTTTTATGAAAAATCAAAAATAAATAACAGCTGTAAAGATTTTCCTCTCCTGTCACATCTTCAGTAATACACAGACGTAACCTGCCATGCAGGAGAGGCAGTTTGGTTACAGGGACCAGTCACAGCTTTCAGTTCTAAGGTCTGCAAGAGTCACTGCAGGGCTTTGGGTAAATCATTAAATTCTCTGCACTTCTACTTCTCCCTCCAGCAGCTTCCTAGGGAAGGGAATGGAGAGAGAAGCATGTCTTTGTTTCAGTTTGCCAAAGTCTGAAAGGGAAACCACTCAACCAACCACTATCAAAGCCATCTGACAACTAGAATGGAAGGATGTCAAGAGGTCACTAGATTTGATTTCTGAGAAACTCCTTGCTGCAGCAGGGCTACATTGAAGCATATCTGCAGGCTAGCTCTGCCACCCTGTGTCTGCTGCAAGACCTGTTTGCTTAATAGCTCATCAGATCTCTACATTTCTTCTTAGGTCAGACACAAGCAGCAATGAAGTGTAGAGACAAAAGCAGCAGCTCACATCCTACACAAACTGGGACTCTTGGAGCTTATAGGTAAGGCTACGAAACAAAACAGCACACTTCCATGTGAAGTCCCCTGAGATACCCAGTACTGCATTCAGTGCAGCCCAGCTATAGCAGCTGATATTTCTAGATGGGCCACTCCATGCAAACTGCAGGCACACGGCTTGCTAAGGAATAAACCCCATATTATCTTAACCAACCTCCCCCAGCAGACTGGAGACCTCCAACTACAGCTGAAAGGCCATCAGCTTACCTGCCCACCTCACTCAGCTGTTTCCCACTGCTGCGGTCACGTCCTGAAGGCCCATAGTCCCACTGCAGCTCCTTTGCAGCTATGTAGTACTTCCGAGTTCTGCCCTGCAGGGCGGGCTCCGGAGCTTGCCGAGAACACGGCCGGACTTCATAGATGGCAGCCATCCCAGCTGCCCACAACAGGTGGAGGACACATCAGCTTAACGTTACACCTCTCAGCCACTGAACAGAGCACCTTTCTACCAGAAACTGGATTCTCCTCCTCTGCTGTCCCAAAAGGTACATGCCTGAGGTGATTGGGTTGTTCCCACAGAAAGGAGCTTCTTTCTGCTGGTGAGCAGAGCTCCTTACACTTAAACTCTGGATGCTTCGTGATTATGGACAGACAGCAAACAGAGCCTTCTTCTGATGTATCACACCAGGAATTCTTAAAGGAACTAGCACTTTTAGGGCACTGTCTCATCTCAGCTTTCAGCTGTGTCAAATTTATCATTCACCAGCAATTGATGTAGAACATCACACCACTCCCAGTTAAGTTTGACCTACATATTAGCAGCCAATTGACCCTACTTCATGCAAGACAAAGAATCACCCATTTAACTATGGACATTTCTAGTGGGAATGCTGCCCAAGACACTGCCCCTCATCACACTGTACATCACAAGACACGTGATGAGGACAATGATGGACACTGGGTGAAAAAAGGGAAGCCACAGAGTGCAGAACAGATTCCAGCCTCTGTCTTACCTTGTATGTGATCATTGAGCTGACAGCTCAGTAGCCATCTCCCAGGGTTACCAGGGATCATGTCTGCTGTAACAAAAGTGGCTGGGAAGAGGCTGGCCACATCTGTCCTATGGTCTCGAATGCTGAGTGTTTCTCCATGGAAGTAGGCTGTATGAATGTCAATTTCATTGCCCATGCCAAAGAGGTGCCATGCAACATGATCCCCAGCACACATTGTCAGTGCAGGGAGATTCCCAAACACATAACCATTGATAGCTGAAAAGGCAAGCAAGTTAAAATCAGAAGTTAGAAAAAGGGCCAGCAGAGCTTCTACCTACAGGTCACAGCGGACATGTTTGAAGGGGGAACCAACCTTCCTCTTCTTCTTTTGGAGAGCTTGGCTCTACAACTCATTTCATAACACAAACCATTTTTCAGAATCTCCAAACAACTCAGAGACTCACTCAAGCCAAAGAATAAAACAAAATACTTTCTTTTTCCTGGAGCTGCTGCAGTTTGTGATAGTTTGCCTATCACCTGATCTCAGAGCCTTCTATACCCCTTTTCCTCTCTACCCACAGCCTGAAATATAACAGCGGAAAGCGCATTTCAAGATATCAGAGCACTGACCCATCCAGAGCATCTGGGCAAAGGCGGTGGCTTTACAGAATTGACTCACCATGCATTTTGTTGCTCTCTTGGAATTCCTCATCTTCTTTGTCTACAGATCCTGGATCAGTGCAGAATGATGCAATGTTCTCATCCAAGTACCAGCTTAGGTTCTCATCCACCACGCTGAACATAAGGAAGAAGTCAACATCCACATCCTGCCGCCTTTGAGAAGTGCCTGTCAGTATTCCTAGGGGGAAAGAAAAGAATGAATACCCATTCATGCAGAACAGCAGACACTGGTTTTAAAGGCTTAAAGAACCAATGAAAGAACAACAGCTTATCACACAAATTACAGATGGATGCTTCCTCCACCATTCTGGCACACTGCAGAGCTTCAGCAATCTCATACACTTCTGATATAACCCTGCAAGCTCAGTCCCACACTGCTCTAGCTCTGCATGGCTGAACTAGAACTCTTTCAATGTTCTGAGTGCTGAAATCAATCAGTATCTCTATTTTTAAAATATACAAACTAGGTCTCATGCAAAATTCCTTCTCTTAAAATGAATTCAAATAGCCCTGTCAATCAACAAACCTACAAACTCATCTACCTGGCCACAACAGGATAAAGGCAATTCAATGACTGCAACCCAACCAGAACACAGGTGCTGTCATCTCCAGTCACGTCACATTTTCCCTACAAAACTGGGAGCTGCCCACTGGAGCATCCTTTCATCCTGCTTCTATTCAAGTCACCACAAAAATCTTCACTACCAGAAACCTTCTTACCTTCCTTGCACGTTACCAATGGCCCAATTAATCCAGATGCAATGTCTTTTGGTGCATCAACGTGAGAGTGATAGATCCAGGTCAAGCAGTTCGGATCATCAGCTGTTGGGCTGTGATCTTCAGGGACAGTCCAAGTGTAGGTGTAACTCCCTCCTGGGAAGACAGCATCATCCTTCTTCTGATCCTGGGGGGACATATCGGGATACAGGGATCCTAGAACAATTGAGCAATCAACATCCATTCAAGAAGAGCAGAAATACTCATACACATAGCCTTATAATGAGCCTCTCACACTCAGATAGCTGCATACAAGTAGAGGATAGCATCTTTCAAAGCAAGATTCAGCAACTCAAGGTTGAAGCAGCAATTAAACATCACTCTCTCAAAAAGAAACCAAGGCAAAGAACCACTGTAAGGCAACTTGCCCAACAAACAGGTTAACAGAGTCAGAAAGGTTATTCTCATTCTCCCTACCACTGCTTTGCCTTCAACAACACCATGTGCCAGTCAGCCTTCCTACAAGTCTCTAGGGTTCGCTTGAAATCGCAGCTCCTTGGCCTCATACTTCATTCTTAGGAACACTCCAAATAATTACTGTAACTCTTCTCCTGTGCCACTCTCCCAGAAGCAAGTTTTAGAGATTCTATGAAAATCAGGAAATCTGGACTGCGTACTGCAATGCCCAGGTCAGAAGACTGCTCCCAGATCCATGAAGGTAAGTCAAGTCACAATGCTGGATTAGTACAGACCAAAGTGCAGCTGCTTCCCAGCAACACAGCTCTGGGCTAACCAAGTCTAGGGTTTTTTTTTTTTTTTTTTTTTTTTTACAGACACTTCTCAGTGCATACTCTTCAGTTTCCCAACCAGAAAAATCCATCTCTTTTATGGCAGTGGTTCATTTACCTTCAGAGTCCTTCTCGTAGAAGACACCGTGAGGATGGATTGTATACGGCCGACTAGCAAAGTTTTTCAAGTGTACTTTAATGGTATCTCCCACTTCTGCTCGGATGATGGGCCCAAGGAACCCCAGCCACGCCGGTTTGGGAATCTCAGCAGTGTAGGTAGAGTCTGTGTATTGCTTATAGACAGATTTCTTGTAAGTACCTCCTATCCTGTCCTTGCCAGGCTGGAGGAACACTGAGGCCCTTCTGTTAAATTCAGAAGAGAGGAAGACACTGTGAGTCACACATTACACAAAACAGAATGTAACACTGGAGAAAGCTGCGTGTCACTGCTGCTCCCAGGTAAGACCCAAAGCTTTCAGCATCACAGAAACCTCCCATGCTCTACCTTAACACATCCATACCCAGCAGCTGCGACGGGAACACAGCACCATACAGGCAGCATAGCCAACAGCATCATCTGCTACACAAAATTCAGCAGAGGACACTGGGCAGCTAATGGCTTTGTGAGTCCAGAAACTACTACAGGTACATGTAGGGGCAAACTCCTGCTGACACACAGCCATGGCCTCGTCCTGAATTCATCATAGAAGGACACAGACCGCATCTCGAACTTTGCAAACTGTGGGGTGTGAAGGATGGCACTTCTCCAGCAGTCACAGAAAAGGGACACAGGGAAGAACAAAGCCCTTCCCTCTCCTCCATCAGCCTTTATTGTGTTTTGGAAACACATCTCAATGCCTTTGTAGGGTTTGTTGCTGGCTCAACAAACAAGGTTAAAAATACTAATAATCTCACAGCTCTCCAGCTGAGATATGCAGCCTGAAGGGTGCTTTTCAACTCATTTTTTGCCATTTACTTGCAGAATGACAGTCAAGTATGGCAGGTATACACCCAGCACATTACAGCTTCCAGAGGTGCCAAAGTTCAAGACATGAGTATATTTGCTCTTCATGACTATTTCTTAGTAGATAAAGAGATGAGTCATGGCCCAGATATGAACAACACAGGCGGAGATGAGCGCTCGGGTTACTTTCCCCACCCCCTTAGGACTGAGCAATGCTCACTGCTCTGAAATGGGCAAAGCCAGCGCTCATCTCCAGAAGACAGACAGCAGAGGTCAAAAGAGTAAACGCTGCCTTTGTCATTCATAGCTGTGGAGGGCTGGGCTCCAGCTATACAGTCTAAAGCTCATGTTTGAGAAGCCATCCCTCTAGCTAGTATCAAAGTATATGGGTAATTCAGACTTCTCTGCAACCTTTCTCCACATAGCCCATCCCTTTCAAACTAAAGAATTCTACTGTTTTACCACATCTGCCATTCTCCTACCAGTTCTTATTGCTAGCAGTTTCACTTCTGCAATCATTGCACACAGGAGCGCTGTTAGCTAACTGTTCGCAGTGACAGCTTTAGAAGAGTTTAACAGCTCCTCATTTCATTTCTTCTCTTCACGTACTCCAAGAGAAAGTGAACAATAAATACTGCATTTGTTATCACTGTGGGTACCAATGAAAATACCTGTGTCACTTGATTCAGCCTGACCTTGGGGGCTTCTTTTCTGCAAACAAACTGAGCCTATTTGGCATCTCCAGAGAGAGGCGACTCGTGCTGAACTGACAGCCCTTGCTTTTCCTCTGCCCTCCTCCTATTCCTGCTGGATTTCTGAAAGATGTAGAAACCGCTGGGTGCTATTTGTTATGGCACACAGCACTGAGCGACTGGGCAGGCCAACAAATAATTTGTCATAGAAAAAGGACTAAAACAAATGCCTTCAGAAATTTGTGGAAAGCTACAAAAAACAAAAGTTTGTTATGCTGAAAACTGGGAACAAACTGTTTTTGTAGTGACTCAAAGGGATTACTGCACTTTCCAGATTTACTTCTCTCACAAAAACAGAACATTTTCCAAACAACCCCAAGATTTCACTAAGCGAGTTCCATCACCTGCAAGGCTTGAAGTCTCAATTAACAAAAACAAGCCAGCCCCATGGACTCATTTCCATGGAAGTGAAAAGTTGTCATGCTTCAGGATACCTACATCACCAACTGGAAGTAGGAAATGCAAACCCCAGGGCAGAGCATTACACAATCTGCTCTATTATAGTGTTTTCACTTCCCTCCAATGTAGCTGGCACTGGTCACTGGATGCTTCATTAAATTGACCATTCGCTTCCTCACAGGAACAGCTTTATCGTAAGAACACAGAAACAAGTTAACCATTAAGCTCATAAAGGCCACACAGCTGATCCTATCTCCTGCTTGCTTAGATGACCCAGAATACTTGCACAAAATTACTCAGGTAGCACAAGACTCAGTTCTTACAGAACTAAACGTACAGGCTACGTGCGATGCTTTGGTTGCTCATCACATTCATTCCTGTTGGAGCATAATTCCAGTCCACCTCATGGATCCCCAGGTAATAGACTCGGGTGACGCCTCCAGCAAACAGGGGCGATGGCCAACAGATGCAAAGCAGCAACAGCCAGAACAACCGCATTGTGGTGTGAGCAGAACGCTCTTCTGGAGGATATGTCTGCGGGCAGGAAAAAAAAAAAAAGAAAGGAAAAGGAAGCAGAATCTGACCACATAACTGTACCCTAAATTAGTTGGTTTGATGACACCGCACATCGAGCCAACATCCTTTGAGAGTGTGAAGTCAGGTAGAAGCCCTACGGGGATCATTACCTGAATACCCACCAGGGTGAGGAATAAAGGAAATCCTCATGCTGCACAACAAGGGCACAGATTTGCCTTGATAATCAGCACACACAGCTCCACACCATGCTTTCCTAATCACAGTTTAACTCACTGCTTTGTCAGTAGCAATTCCAAATATTTTGTTTAATAGTGCTGAGAAAATGCTGCTATAATTGGCAACCCCTTCACTAAGAGGAAGATGAGGTGAACAGAGCTGTTTGCAGCAGAGGCACCCACAGTGTTATGCTGCATGACACAAAGCAGGGGCTGAACCTGCCACAGGCACCAGAACTTCAAGAGACATTTTTCACCAACATTTTCACCAATGTCCCAAATAATCATAAAGGACCGCATAAAAGGCAGAAGAAAAGAATCCTGAGCAAATAACACTAAAGTACTGTTAGCACAATCCTTCTCTGCTCTACTAAGCCCCCGAGAAAAACAATTCCACCACCAAGAAGCATTTCAAATTCTAACTACCCTCAAGGATGCTCTTAAGGAATGGTTCCCTGCCACCCTTGGGTATGTCTGGATTAGCAGCACAAGGCTGGTTCCCTTCAATTGGTCCCAGTAATACTTCCCCATGATCTATATCATGAAGCAAGGAGTTTGCTCATAAACACTGCACTCAGCATCAAGTTCAGTGTGAGGCACCAGGAACACTCTGGGGGACTCAAGGAGAGCAGCAGGAATTATGTGAAAGCATTCCCAATATTCTATCTTACCTGTCTGAAAGAGAAACTGATGGAGCATGAGAGCGCAGAATTACACAGAGGATATAAAAATAGATATGAAATAAAGTGGATGAGAAATTAAACACAAACGCACACAAAAACGTTTAAGAAAGATCTCATGCAGAGATATAACAGGGTTATGTGCAGCCTATAAAGAAACTGGCAGCTAAAATACAGACCCAGTTCTTGAGATACATAAAAGCAACTTCGAAAAAGTTCAAAGAGAGAAACCAAGGACACAAGTAAAGAAAAATGCAACAAAGGAGCGACGCCATCGGTTTTCGTAAACTTCAAGAAGGCGACGGCGGCAAAACACTACGCAAACACAGACGGGTTTTGTCTACGATACAAGGATGGCTGTTATCGTTCAGCCGCCCTCCGCTGGGAGCTCCAACACAACGCGCAGCCCCGGCCCGCTCAGCCCCGCGCCTCTGCCTCCAGCTGCGCTGCCGGCGGCCATAGAACTGCGCTGCCCAGAGTTCTTTCTGTGTTGAAATAAGACTTGATTAAGAATAAACGCAAGTTTCGCGCGGGTCATCCCTGAACCTTTTTGTTTAGATAGCAGAGTTTTCCCAAGAGTTAGTATTCTTAATTAATAAAACAGGAATCGTAACCGAATAATTCAAGTTAATCGACTCGCTAATCAAATGCCACTAATCAGACGAATTCACCCGACGGAACCCGGGTTTCTCAATAGAGAAAAAACGCGACGCCCAACGGGAAGGGGAGGGAGAGCACACGCGGGCAGAGCCGCTTCGTTGCTTACTGTGCGGAGGGTCGGCCGTCAGCAGAGGAACATCTCCGTCCGCGGCGGCGGCACGAAGGGAGCGGCCCAGCGAGCACCGCGGGGCGAAGTCCACCCGGCTAGGGGCGCCACCCGCAGGTGGGGCGGGGCCCGGAATGCCCCCGCACCGACCGAGGGGAGCGGGTCCGCCCGACACGGACTCCGCAGACGGGCACTCGCGCGTTTCTCAGGAGGGCTGCAGCCGCCCGCGCCGCATCCCGAGCAGCGACGACCCGGCGGCCACAGCTCGACACGCGCACCACCGTACCGAGCCGCACCTGTTCTAGAGCCGCCCCGCTCGTATCCGAGCACGGGCCCACACCTGCCCGTCGCAAGTAGAGCCGGAGCGCGGCCGAACCTACCTGGGAACGCGGCTCCGCCCACCACTTCTCTCCCGCGGGACGCGCCGAGTTCGCCGCTGCTGCCGCGCGGTCCCTTTAAAGGCGCGCGGTGAAGTCACGGGGCCGCGCGCCGCGCTCCCCTGAGAGCAAAACAAGAGGCACGCGCCGGCAAGGGGCGGGGCGAGGCGGGCGGGGCGGGACCTGGATGCGAGCGCCAATGAGCTGGCCGCCCTGGCCTCGCGCCGCCCACCAACGAGCCCTGGCCCGCGGGCCCCGCCCGTCGTGGCGTCACGGTCTCCGGTGGGGATCCGCCCGCGCGGCCGCCGCACGAGAGCTCGGCCCGGCCTGAGGATGAGGGAAGGGTCGGCGCTGCCTGGCGCCCCCGGCGCCGCACCGGTGCCCGGCTTTTTGGCCAAGCTGTGGGCCCTGGTGGAGGATCCGCAGAGCGACGACGTCATCTGCTGGAGTCGGGTGAGGGCGGCCCCGGGGCAACGGGAGGCGGCGGCGGCGGTCTGGGAGGCCCCGCGGGGAGCGAGGCCCGGGGGAGGCGGCGGCGGCGTGCCGGGCCGGGCCGGGCCAGGAGCGCTGGCGCGTGGCACGTGGCGCGAGCGGGGCCCGGAGCGGTTCCGTGCCGCGTCCCGGCCGCACCGCGCGGCGATCGGAGCGGAGCGGCGCTGCGTCTGAGCCGCCAACGGCGCTCCGAACCCGTTAACTTTAATTTTTCCTCTCGTGCCGCCGAGAGCCTCCAGGCGGGGACGCAGCAGCCGCACGCGGACGCGAACGCCCGCGGCGTTGACTTTCGCTCCGTGTCCTTTTCTAACGCGGATTTTTTCCATCCGTTTCTCCGGATGTCGGCCTTTAAAAGGCGAAGGTGAAGAGATCCGTTCGCTCCCCGTCGCGGCCATACGAACGCACGAGCTCCACCCGGCCCGCGCGGTGCGCTCCGTTCGCCCCGTACCGCCGCCGCCCCGCTCTGCCCCCGGGTATTTTTAGCGGTGACGCCGCGCGGCCTGAGCGCCGTTTGCCCTTCGTGTGCCGGGATCTGTTTTAGAACGATTTTTTTCTTTGGCTTGAGGCCAAAGTTCAGACTTTGAAAAAAAAAAAATGAAAACAAACAAACCAACCAAACCGCAATTCCAGAGCAGTGTTCCCTGAAAAGGCTTTTTTTTCCCCGATCTTTTTTGTTACGATCTGGAAAACTCATTAAGTCCCCTCAGGCGGTGCCCTTTGGTGTGTTGTGCCCATGGTGCCATAGGAACTGGCTCCAGCAATGATCCTGGCATCAGAGCAGCGCCTCAGAAACGTTTGTTCTCACTGTTACTGTCCCTTATTTCCCAGAATGGTGAGAACTTCTGCATACTGGATGAGCAGCGGTTTGCCAAGGAGCTGCTCCCCAAGTACTTCAAACACAACAACATCTCCAGCTTCATCCGACAGCTCAACATGTGTAAGCATCAGCTGCTGTGCATGCATGTTTGTGTTGCTTTCTCTGTTGAAGCAGCGTTAATCCCACCGACGGCTCAAGCTGGACCGAGTCTCCTTTTTATGTTTTCTGTGCTCTACTCGTGAGCATCACATACTGCCTGTTCTGTGAGATGTGCACAGTGTGTGCAGGCAGTGGCGTCAGAATGAGGTGGCAATCTCAAGTCAGTGCAGTGTGCGGAGCACAAAGAGTTGGTTTGGGGCCATGTGAAGGTACAGACTGCACAGGAATTGGCTGCCTTTGAGTAAGGGGGTTAAAAGTGATTGAGTGAATCCTTCCCGGGAAAGGAGAGGATCTGGAGGACACTCTGTTTGCCTGACATGTGAAGAAACAATTGTCAGTAGTCTCATAATGCAGTTAAATGATAAAATACAAATATTCATATGGAGGTATGCAGTGGGGTGGCAGCCTCCTCATGCTGCTTACACTGAGGTTTTCTCATGATAGTGTGTTTGGGGCGCAGCGAGGCTGGAACGTATCAATTGTGTTAAGAACTTGAGTGAGAAAAGATACACATTGGTCTGGTAACTAATTTGCATCTTCCTTTTGGTATTTAAAGCAGTGATGGAAATAGAGCTCAATGCCTTATTTCATGGAGACGGTCTGGGGTGGAAGAAGTGCTTTTTGTGCCTGATTTGTTGCCATAGGCGGAGGACTAATTTCTCTTCCTTTTAATATTCCATAGACTCTGGTGGGATACAACAGCATTTGTTTTGGTATGCAGTTGCCTGAGTCTGTAGGGATGAAAGGGAAGGTGGGACATACTGTCCATTCCTCATTTTATGCGAGGTGTCCTAGGAAATCTGCTGACTTGCTTCTGTGATTATTTGGACTGCCTTGCTTCCAGGACTAGCAGGCCGGTGCCATGCATGCTGTTTGTAGATCATTTGGTGGTGTGGTAGGTAGGTGTGTTCCCTGTCTGTGGTGATCAGAGCAGTGAAGTGGTTGAGCACTGAAAGGAGGCTCCTGCTTCCAATAGCTGTGTAGCTGTAGGTATTTCAATAGCTTTGTGGTTTTCTTTAGCTCTGTTTTGTAACAGTGAGCTTTACTTTAGAAGAAATGATTTTATTTCAATCCCTCTCCACAGATGGTTTCAGGAAGGTGGTTGCTTTGGAGAATGGTATGGTTACAGCAGAGAAAAACTCAGTCATTGAGTTCCAGCACCCTTTCTTCAAGCAAGGAAATGCACATTTATTGGAAAACATCAAACGCAAGGTACAGTCTAAGCATTTATTTACTTCACTGTTATTGTTATGAAAAGAAGTTTATCTAGAGCAATTCTGAGCATTTCAAACACTTTACAGCCAACAAATTCCTGGAGAACCAAGGCTGTGCACTGGCAAGCCTTAGCAGCTCCCTCCTGAATGCCACACTAATGCTTGGCTTGGCCTCCTCCTGTCAGCTCTTAAACAGAACGCACCCTGTTGTTGTCTAGCAACACACAGGAGGTCTACAGCTTTTATCAGTGGCACAGACTCTAGCTGGTGGTGCACCTCTAGGGTCAATACTGAGTCCAGCTGTGTTCAACAGTTCCATTAATGATAAAGGTGGTGTGGATGCAGCATAGGCAGCAATACTCAGCTCACATAAATTATTTTTTTCCTCCAACACCATTTTGCTAATAAGCTACTTTTTTTGCAAGCACTTTCTAGTTTTCTTTTGTGTATTTGGCCTTGTCTTAACTGCACCTGCATGTATATATTTTCTCTGCTTGCACGTTACAGCCCATAATATCCTGGCTGCCAGAGAAAGACACTACCATGATACATCTTATTGACATTTGAACTTTGGAGTTCTTTCTTCAGAGTGTCATAATGTGGTGACTGCAATGCCCAAGTTAATAAAAGCAGAGAGTAGGCTTGAGGGTTAGCTAGAGTCACAATTGTGTTTTGATTGATTCTTTGCTGAACTCTCTGCTCAGAATCTCAGTTGATCAAATATGGTAGCAGTTTCTCTGACACAGACCTGTGCTCTTTGCAGATGCCGTAACTGCTAACTTGTCCTAGCTTGCACACCTTCCTTTCTGGTATGCTGACAGTCAGTGCTGGCATTACATATGGCACTGTGTATCCCATGGGTGTTGCACTGGGTGGAGTACTCTAGATGAGAAGACAAAAGCACTATTTAGTGCCAAAGACATTCATGTAAATTCTGGTGAAATATATTCTTTGTTGCACAGGAAATGTGATTTTTGCAATGGATAAAACATCCGTTAGCTTTTCTTGCGCTTTACTGCCTGGAATGGAAATGTATTTCAGCCTCAAACAGGAGTGTGACTGAATGCAGGACTTTCTTTCTTTACTCATTTCACTGTTAGGGCTAGGATCTCTGTTCGTGTGACTCAGTCTTGACATCCTTATTATATAGTCACGAACTTGGAAGAAAGCTGTTCCTCGTATTTGGCAGAACGTTTTAGTTTGGCTTTCCCTCCAAGAGGCATTCTGACTGCATTTGGTACTTGCACCTACTGTCTGCATCCTTTAGGTATCCTTCCCATGAAGGGGTGGTGTGCTGAAGAGGAATCAGGATTTCATTTGGGGTGCATAAAGTGTATTAGCACATGGTGCTATCTACAACAAATAGTAAAGCATCCAAAACTGCAGACAGAGAGAACTGTCAGGCCATTCAGTGCATCCTTTTCAACACTGGGCTGTGTTAAGAAAACAGTCATTTCTGCAGAGGGATAGTGCTGTAGAATCTTACAGTTGTTTGAGTTGGAAGGGATCTTTAAGAGTCGCCTGCAGTGCACAGGGATGGGCACAGCTCCATCACTGCTCAGAGCCCCATACAGCCTGACCTTGGCATGGGGCATCCACTCCTCTCTGAGCAACCTGTGCCACTGCCTCGCCACCCTGACTGTGAAAAACTTCTTCCTTATGTCCAATTAAATCTTCTTTTAGTTTGAAGCCATTTCCTTTTGCAGACCTTGCTAAAGAGTCTGCCCCCTTCTTTCTTACAGCCCCCACTAGATACAGAAAGGCTGCTATCAGGTCTCCCCAGAGCCTTATGAAGGTAGTTATGTGTGCTCTAACATCAAAATGCAGTGACCACACGTAATACCCGGTGGATTTGTGTGCTTTGGAAAACATTTGCTGCTTGTCTGCCAACCAGCAGCAGGCGCTGTGGACTGTCTTTACCAATTGCTGGGCTGCCTTTCAGCTTGGTGAAGGATGTTGTACTCCGAAACAGAGTCGAAATGCTGGGGAAAAAGCATGAGAGGTAACAGCTAGCTAGTTGAGCTGGAGTGGACAGGCAGTCCTACGGTGATCCTGCAGTGACAGCTTTTGGGAGATCTGTGTGAAACTGTAAAAGTCTACTCCTCAAACTAGTATAGAAGAGCTAATTTAAGAGTGTTGTTAGAAGCAGGAGCAATTCTAGCACAGAATTCCATAATGCTATTGTATCATCACACAGTGATGGGACACTATTTTACAGCACTGTAGGTCAATTTTGACCAATGAATACCAATTTTAATTTAAAAACAGTGGGAATCTGTGAGCCAACCTGCACGGAAACAGTAGGCTTCCACATCTCCTGGATTTTAACAAAATAAGTGAAATAAGAGCACACTGTTAGGTTGGAAGAGAGATCTGGTGGTTACCTGCTACAACTTCATTTGATTTCATTGCAGTCTGTGTT